ACTGAAGCTATTTTTAATAAGATGTCATGTATCTCCAGAAGTGAACATTGGATAGAAGGCATAAATGAAGGTAAATTAAAACAACTTGCCGACAGAATGGAAAGACACCAGAATGGTCTGGGGAAAGGAGAGAAATGAGAATAGAACTAGAACGGTGAGGTCAAAGCAACTGCGAAAGCCACAGGCATAAATCTTCGTGATTGCTACCTCTGCTGGGGAACAGCTCCTTGCTGAAGAAAAGTCAGGCTTAAGTGAGACTGACAGGGAACAGGAGACAAATAGATGGTCAATAGTGCAGAGACTATGAAACTTACGACTTTAAAAAATGAAGAGAGATAATTGGGAGCTGGGGAAAATGCGAAGAGAAGCAAAGAATGGAAAAATGATGAGCAGCAACAATGAAAAGAGAAGGTAGAGTAGGAGAGAATGCAGAGTGTCTCCTCTGTTTAGATAGACTTCAGAAGTACCTAAGAAAGGCAGAACCCATGGCACAGCTTTACATAACGGATGGCTTGTTTCCTTTATGCAGTCAATCATTTCTTCTTGCTGTGTAAATCAACAGTGCTGCTAATAGTCATGATTTTATAGAGTGTAATGGTTTTTTCTGTTCAAGTTGCTAGGATAATGAAACTATGAAAAGTGAAGTTCATTTTTTTTTGAAAACTTAGAATTTTGGGAGGTTTTTTTTTGTAGGAAATGTCTGAAAATTGAACTCTAAGACATAAAAAAAACGAAAAGCAAATCAACATATACAAAGTAAATTGATAATAAAGAACATTTTTTAAGAGTAAACCTCAATTACGGAACTGAATCAGGGTTTTTTAACCACTTCAAGTTGTCAGTATTAAGGGAATCTGAAGCTGCAGCATGACCTAAGAGCGCTGTGGAGCACCTTCCTCTTGCTGTGAAGAAGCAGTGAGCATTAGCAAATGCTCCCCACATAAGAGCAGAGACTACATTTAGGAACAGGTATTGGCCTTAAATTTTAACTTTTGTTTGTCATGTTTGGTTACGGTAATAAGACATGATGACTGTTCCCTTGGATATGATTTTTCTTTCCAACAACTATAAAGACAACTTGTGCTGGCTCAGAACAGATAGTTAAATTTTCTCAAGCCCTGGTAAATGTTGGGATTCATCCAACCCATCTCAAGTTTTCTCAGTCAGGCTATGTTGGATGAATATCATCCTTTATCAGAGACCAGTCCATTATCCATTCAGATAAATTCCAGAGGAAAGTATGTAGAAAGATAGTTTAAAAAACATACTATCTTTGCAAAAGTGTCAACTGAAAATTTATGGAACTGTTATTGAAACATGTATTTTTTTAAAGGTTTGAAAGTGCATAAATGCCAACATCTAACAAATATTCTTCTCCTGTAAAACCCACCTGTTTCCTTTAGCCTTTTGAGTGTTGTATGGAAAAAATGTAAAATTTGGAAAGGAATTTGATGGATCAAAAGGAACTATCGGTACCACCGGAAGGTGACTGTCTTATTAGGGAAGTGGTAAATTTATATTTGGTAAACAACCATTCAGTAAGCTTGCAAAGGTAGTGTTTGTTAGCTATTTGCCAGCTGCAGCTCTTCAGTACGTTCACCTATTGTAACTGAGGCTTAGTCACATTTAAATCTGAATTCTGCAAGGATACAGGGATTCACCTAAGATCAGCTTGCAATACTGGTATGACATGCTGTATTCTTTATATGATGCAGGATAGGCAAGATATGAAACAAGATGGTTTACTCCTGGGGGATGTGGTGCACTTAATTTTTTACCTCTGATTCTGGCTCTGTTCTTTCATGCTTTTGTCATAAAACAAAACAAAGCAAAACAAAAAGCCTCATGGTTCCTGACTGCAGCATAAAAAATATGCCATATGACAACCGATAGCCTAGTCACAAAATCTTTTTAACACAATAGATGAATAGTGATGTGTCACATGTATATACGTGAGCAAAGTGAAATGCTACCTACCCACTTGCAGTCATTTTATTGTGTTACTTCCACAAACATAAATAGTTTTTTTATCAACCATCTGGTTCTTTTCTGCGACATGCTCTCTTTGTCTCATCAGAAGCTTGTTATATGTGAGTGAAGAAACACTGCATATATTCCATAGCCCTATTCTTTTATCAATAATTTCCTGTTATCATTACACAATTATTTGAATTTTGTGAATATAGCCACAAAGGATCAATTCAATTAAACCAAAACTACAAAGGGGAAATCTCACTGCAAGCCTCTGTGCAAATGGTGAACCCAGTAATTACATATAGCCACCTATTGTGCTAGCATAATAACATGTGAAGAAGGTTTAGTCAGACACATTTACACACATAAAAAGCAATATGGGCATAGAAAAAGTCACTTTTGCCAAAAGTACAGAACAGTCACACAGTAACAAATGAGAGCTGCATGAATCCTAGTTTACTTGGCTATAAATAAACCCAACATTTTCTTTCTCTCCATGGTAAAATAAAATAGAAGCACAGAAGCATAACAGTCTCCTTTGAGCAACCAGTCTCTTTCTGTTCAATTATAGTCATCAATCTGTTCCACCTAAAATATTTTCCTCCTTGAGAAACTAAAGAAATCAGTATTAGGATTCAAAACATGCTGTTGCAAAAAAAAAAAAAAAGTAAAAGAGGTCTTTCCTTTTGGTGAATGCATTTGTTTTGAAAGACTGTATTTTCTTTAATATTAATTTTGTAATTTGGGTGGAAAAAAATGCTGCATTTGTATGACACTTCTAATCAGAAAATCTTGAAGAGCTTGGTAAGGAAAGGTAAGGGTTACCTTCATTTTACAGACAGAGAAAACTACATCAAAGAGAGCTTAAATTAGCCTTCCCCCTCCCCCCCCGCCTGTTTCTGGAGCATTTCCCTTTCAGATGTCCAACTGGAAGCCTTTAAATCCTGATATTCAGAAGTGCTAAACAGACAAAGCTTCAGCTGTATGAGTACCCTTTCTCTCAGCGGTGACAGTGTCAGATTCTGCAGCGCTGGGAAACGCTCGCCTCTGCATAATCCCACAGCAAACTGGAGAGCAGGGATGGGACAGAGTCAGGTCTCCTGCTTCCTGCTACATGCTCTGACAAAACTTGTCTAGGAGGGTGAGTTTTGCCATTACTGAAAATCACTAGGTCAAGTTTAGATGTCTAAAAAAAAGCCATAGTTTCACTAGCAGCTCTGGGCTTGACTTAAGGATCATTTCGTAAAATCATACATCTTTTGTTACTTAGAAGATAACACAGGATAACCATATTATGTCTTCTGGTCTGAAAAACCCTATAAATCTATGACTGAGAACACAAGAGAATTAACTATAATGAATTATCTTGGGGGTAACACAACAAGTTTCTGATTAAGGCTTTTTCATCTTTCTGAGATGGGATACTAGCCACCAAATTGCACTGTCTCTTCCATTACTCTGTGTGCCACTGAACCATCAAAGCACATAAAAGTAAAGCCAATTTGATTTAGCTAAATAGGAAAAAGTCCAAATCCTCTTCCTCCCACAATAGTTCTGCACAGACATCTACAGAGAGCAGAATGCTGTCCACCTGTGCATGTCTGAAGAATTGTAGAGAATTATTTTAAAGATGAAAAATCAAAGTGCCAAAATAATACAATCTGTGGTGTAAAAATAGTTTCAGGGTAAGTCCTATGTGCTCAAAATCTCATCACAAACTCCAGGAACTGAACGAGCACAGAGACCAATCCTTTCAGTCACAGGGATGGTTCCAAAATAATGTAAAACGTGTATTTGGCATCCAGGAAAGCACTATGGGGAAATTAAATATCCCAAAAATATTCCAGCCTAACTTTAACAACTATATAAATCATTCTAGGTTTAGAAGGAGGGATAGAAGGTTTTGAAGTAAATTTCTTGTCCTTTTTTTTTTTTTTTTTTTGAGACTACCATCTTTAAGGTGGAATAATAACTACAGTTTTTCCTATTTGTTCTTTGCCCCTGCATGGTGAGTTGTCCTCAGTTCAAAGCATTACTGTAGGGAACCATTTCTACTGCACTAAAAAAGAATACGTTGATTACAGTCATTAAAATTTCCTCCAAGGTGTAAGTATGAAGTATCCTTTAAAACACTGGGTAGCTGTTCTTACAGTCAGCATCAGTTATACACTTCATGTGTTTTTTTAAGGCATTGCTTCGGAAGCCAGATCTTGCAATTATTGTTCAGTTTAAGATCTGTTGTTCAATGTAGAAAAGGTTACTTTTGCTATCATCTCTTACAGCCCACAGTGCGCTATTGTAGATTCAGAGGCCTATAATTTTTGTCAACAAGCAGCTCGTCATTTCAGAAACCTGAATGAGAGAATTCTTTTTCACTCAGCATGCAGACAGCTAAAGCCCTTTTTTCCCCTGGGGTGATGTGCTAGTTTGATTTTATTTTCTTTGGCATTTCACCTGTCAGATTATGGTAAGTAGAAGAAACAAAGAATAATCATCACATTCTCACTGAATCTCACAATCAAATGTCTGGAAATATAAGATAAATTAGAAACATTATCCTGAGGGAAAACATGAACACTGAAAAGACCATCAGATATCCAAATCATCTTCCAGTGACCTAGGATTCCCATACAGGTTTAAAAAAGTCAGAAATGAAACCTGCATAGGACTGCCACATCTACTTTTTTTATCTTCAAATACTAGGGGTTTTTATCTTCAAATACTAGGGAGCGACCTACAATGACATAAGGAAAAAAAAAAGTTGCACATTTAAGAATATTATTCAATAATGAAGCTGTATGTCTTCTTTAAGACTCACAAATGCTTTCTGAAACCAATCTTGAGGCCAAGAAGCAAGACAGGTTATCATGAAACAGCATAAGCTCACATTAACTAGTTGGCAAGGTGAAAAGATTAATGAGCCAGAACACACCAAACATGCTCCTGATTTACTGCATCTGTAATTTGCATGTTCCCAATTTCTCTCAGTCTCACAGTGTTGAGATTCATAAGGGATGAAAGCTTACCTGCTTGACCAGTGGTAACACTGACAGCTGCAAAAAGCCTCTGGGAATGACTCAAGTCAGAAACCCCATTCACAGCTTCAACTTCAAACGTGTAGTTAGCATGAGCTAGCAGGTCCATGACAGTGACATAGTTATCTACTAATCCAGTTTGCTGGGGCATGTATCCAATGTTACTCCCACAGGGAACACATTCGCCCTGCTCCCAGCTGCACCTCTTGCACAAAATGCGGTAGGTCACATCATTTCTTCCCCCGTTGTCAGCAGGAGGACTCCACTCCAAACTCACAGTAGTCTGGTTGATATTGAAAATGAGGTTTTGTGGTGCGGATGGGGGTCCTATGTAACACACAAAAAAGTTCAGGGTAATTGCACAGAACCATGGTCAGATGTATAGCTAGCATTTTAATTACTGAGACAGAAAATACTTGAAGCATTTTTCTTCAAATAAACATTTCATTGTTTTTTACTACAAGCTGTATAAAAGCTCCTTTGAATTCACTTGGCAAGAGCTTTATTTATTTTCCACTAAGGCATCAGAATAACAATTGTCTGTGTACTTACTGCAACTGACTTCAGCCATTTATCTTCTGTGCAATTAAAAGGATTGGTTAATGTACCTTAAAGGTTGTCTGTTCTAGGTTTCCCAAGTATGGGATTTGTTCTTCTCTTCTAAACATACTGCACCAACTGCATCTAGTCTTTTGTTATCAGTTCTGATAAGATTTACAGAGATATTTAGTGTTGCTTTGGATTTAGGAGACTTCCACTATTTGAACCCCCAATCTGTGTAGGCTAGGCTATTTCCAGTTAGAAGGTTAAGCCAGATCCAATTACAGTTCAGTCAAAGCTGAGATCCTGCACAGGTTACTTTTTATTTTTCATGTTGCTCTTTTTGATATTATATCACATAAAGCACATTGTCTACAACAATTTTACAGCCATGGGAAAATTATGCCTGTATTCTGTCTATCACAATGACTTACACACTTACCCAACATGCAATGCTTTCCAATGTTATATCAAGCAAACACGAAAGTTATATTTGTGCTGATTCTATATTCACTGTCAACATTTTTTCCCCCAGTGCCTTTCAATTTCTTTTAGTTGTAAATGTACTTTTCAAATATCAGAAAAAACAGCTGAAACTACTAGCTGTAAGTGGCTGCACCTGGTTGGTTAAGCAACGTCCTTTACTATTAAATTCATGACTGACTCACTTGTGCATGCGACATATGGTGGATCAGAAGGTGCTCTATAATAGCTATCTTCACAATCGCATCTTGAAGATCCTTCCTTGTCAGAGAAGCTGTGAGTAGGGCAGCGGGAGCACTGCAGATCTTGTGAGGAAGATTTGTAGAACCCACGGCCACAAGCTAAGGCAAAACAAAACAAATTAAGGTTTAGATTTGCATGGACTATTCTAATCTTTTTTTCTGTCTCTGTCACATAAGGTACACATTCCTGTAAACATCTGAACTATCCTTTCTGTTACATTGGTGCAAGCCAAAAGAAAACATTAATTCCTTCTCTTCAGTTGAAGCTGTTAATGATTTTGTGGCATTTTTATGAGTTCAAGCACACACTACAAATACCTCTGCAGTTGGCAGCACAATATTTTAACACAGAGGGCCACAGAAATATAACAAGCATCTGTTTTTCACCAAGGAAGAGTACAATAATGGGGTGAAACAGCTGGATGCCTGCAATAGGCCTAAACAAGGGAAAAACAGTCTGGAGAACATCTACTCTAAGGCCACTGAAGTGTTTCTGGTATCTGAACTAGTTGGCTTGGAACTAATAGAGCAAAAGTGCCTCTTCTCTGACCTGAGCAACCCAAAGAAGCGGTAACCCAGCAGTGGGCCCTGATCCTGGGGAATGAATGAGACATGAACACTTGTTGGACAGATGACACTGATAAGAAGACGCAGAAAGTGGAGAAGGGCAGACAGCATAAGCTGCACAATTGGTTTTTCCAGTTTCACAGAGAAAGACAACCAGGCTGAAATCAATTTACTAAAACTTTCAAGGGAAAGTTAAAAGGTAGCTAATTGGAAATCTGCATGTAAGATCACTTCATACTTCAGTTTGTGTGCTGTGAACCCATGAAGTAAAAAAAGTGTTGTGTTCCAAAACTGATGTTTAGAAACAGTTTTATCAGCTACTGCCACAGTTCCCAAAGCAGAAACACCCATAAAACACACACATAATGATTCTCACAAGCACAGAACTGCAACCTAGACAGCCAGCTTAAGAGTGGATAAACTGTGAGCACTGTAGAGGATGAGGAAGCGGGAAGTGGGGATCAGACAAAGCTAAAACTGGAAACAGATTAAGAGTCCATTTCAGCACTGAGGTTATGGGCAAACTTACAAACACCGTCAACATGAAAAACAGAACACAAAAGTCCTTCAGAACTTCCTAATCTAGTAGAGGCTTTTTCAAACATGTTATTTTATTCTCTTTTTCCAATTCCAACAAACTTTCTAACCTTCTTAAGCCATCACCTGTATGCAAAGAAAAGGGGACAGCGGGTGAAACTTAGTATTGGGTATCAAAATATTAAAGCTAGTTAAATAGTCATTCTGAATTCAGAGAGAGAGAATTTACTTTTGTTATATTCATATTTGCTTGGATATTTTCTCAGAACAGAAATGCAAAGTATCCAAAGACACTGATATTTGGAACAGTTATTTCAGTTGTCTGGTACTGCAATGACAGAAAGAGCAGGAAAACAATGAGCTTCATCCAAATCTCACCGAAGCTGGACCCACAGTGACATCACTCATTAATCTGGTGAATTTCTTGCAACCGAGAGAAAAAACTGATGGTAATACTCCGTATAACAATATACTGAAGTAGATGAATTAGGTAAATTAACACTGGATCATACCAGCATAAAATGATAGGAAATTCTGTCCCTCTATTACCCTCTATCAATATACTAACTTTCTAAAGAAAAATATGCCTAAAGGACAGAAATCGCCATAACATTTGGGGTTCATCTTGCTGGAAAAAACAGTGGATGGAAGCTAAATTACCTGGCAGAGAAAATTAGCATGTAAAGCATTTATCATTTGACTTTGACAAAGGGGCACAAGCGTGCGTTAGAAGAAAATCTAGCCCTGCTTATAAAACATGCTATAGTTTGACTCTACCACAGTAGCTGTTATATATGCTATTTAGAAAAGAGGACAGAAAGAGTTTTGGTGAAACCCTTTGGATCAACATGATCCATGAATTCATAGCTGTGGCAAATTTAACTCAGAATTATCCTTTTACACCTTTACTCCAGATTGTTTCAGAATTGCCTGACCAAAGACAAAGAGCACAAAAGCTGAGCTGATTTGTATGCATGTATCTCAAGACATATATTTAAACTTCTGTCTGCTCTTTCAGGACTTGCAATTGAAATGTACCTTAAAATTACCAAATAATAGTTTCCTGCCTTTCTTAAATAGTCATGTTCCTCTCATATCGAGCAAAACACTGGACAAATACACCGGCTCTTCCAGCATGCAGCCCTCTGAAAAGCAAAGAGCAACTTAAAAGGCAAAGATCCCTACTGTGCTTCCAGTCTGTCCTTCTCAGCAGGGAATGTTACAGAGCAAAGATGAAGAAGGTAAAATAGATATTTCAGACAGAAATAACAAAATGTAAACAGAAAACCCCTTTTCATTTTTTTTGTGATGACTTGATCAGACTTTTATATGCTTAATCACTCACTATGTAACATAAGTGTGCATTTCTTATTACAGTTCAAAGGATCTAAATGTCTGTGACTAGTTTACATGACTGAAAGCCATTTATTCTCCTGCACAACATACCACAGGTGGCAGGTTCGGACACTTGTACAATGCTACAATTCCATGATATTTTTCCAACAAGAGGCTTGTAATGACATTTAACAACCATCCCTTCAACTTATATACCGCTTAAATATAAGGGGCAGAATATTCCAGTATTGAAATTTTTAACTGTATGAAAAGGATTTTAAAAACTTTATAGCTCTTTAGAAGGGAGGGTACACAGGGGTACACACCATAATTAAAAGTACTCATTGGAGTAATACAACTAAATTATTTTCCCATTTTTCTTCATAAATTTAAATTTGTCAGAAAAATTTGTTTTGCCACCCAAGCAGTGGAATACTTCTACTGCTCAAATATCGGGGAGCTATGAATCTTTATCTGTTTTTAACATATGTCATTGTCCTTGCCAAGAAACTTACAACTAAAAATTCTACCAAGACAGGCTGTTGCAACGTGTGATGACTTGCCAGTGGTCTATTAGAGATCACAGATGGGAAAGAACCATTCAAAAATACTTTTTTGCCTCCTTTTTTTTGCCCCTTTTGTCCTGTCTTGCCAAATTGCCATAGTGATTTTTTTTATATTAAAAGTAATTTAAATACTTTTTTTGTTCTAATCTATTTTAAATCTGCCTATTTTGATTAATTTCAATTTTTTATGTAATATTTTTAAGATCACAGTGACAGATTGTATAAAATCCCCACTGACACTACCTCCATGAGCAACAGCAAAAAAATGCTAATTGTAAAAACACCCACCACATAAGCCAAACATTACTTAGAGATCCATACATGCAAACCTAAAGGTGATAAATACAGGTAGTGTTCCACAGAAGTATCTCATGGCAAAGCCATGCAACTGCCAGTTGCAGGGCAGTACATTAATCAAGAAAATTATTTGCTACCATGAAAACACAAACAAATTAAAAAAAAGAAATCTTCAATTGTAGAAGTGCGAGGCTTCCGGGTGGCACATCAGCTTAAGACTGAAAGGGCACGCAATTGTTTCAGCATGTTAAACTCTTGATTGAACACGGTTTTTGATAATAATTTCTGAGTTTATATGAAAATAATGAAACATAATGCGTTACAAGGAGATGACTGCACGAATTACTGTTTGATCCCATTATAAAAAGTAGAGTGGTGTGAGAGAAGAAAAATTAAGGTGACATACTGTGCTAGCAGAGCAAGAAAGCTTGTCTGTTTATTCTGTTTGGCTCACCATTCCCTGAGTTTGACGCCATGAGTAAGCTTTAGTGGCGTACATGCCATAGTTTTGTGCACACAGAAGAAGATGAAACTAACATTTAAAAAAATGATACTTTTTCACAGTCAGAATCAAAGGATGGCAAAGAAGTAATCACAGAGTTTCAACAACAGTGTATTACTTGTGAACTTGGGGTAACAGTCTGGTCCCACTGACAACCACAGCAAAATGGCTACCCACCTTGGAAGAGGTCAGGTTTTCTCCTGGGTTCCTCCTTCCCCTTCACTTGAATAAAGTAAGTTGACTGTATTTTAAAGTGATCCTGTACATTGTATTTCTTTCTACAGGGAGTGGCTAGAATTTGTTTTATATCTGTGTGGACATAAGCATCCACTTTTGTGATTTGTTTTGTGTTATCTTAATCAACTCGCTCTCTTTCTACCCTCCCCAAGCCTGCAAACATTAAAGACAATTCAGCTAACCCGCTTTTCACAGAAATTATGTATACACAAGGAGTTTGTGCAGATGTTTCCTGGATGAAGTTATGCAGCTGCAAAGAGTTTATTAATTATAAAATGCAAAATGGATTGTTCTGTAATTGAAACTCTCTGGGGCTCTGATACATTTGAAAATTAACATACATGTATGTATGGTCAGGACATAGATGGATGCTGTTAGATTATTTATTACAGATGGATATTTTAGCTAACACAGAAAAAAGACTGGTCTTTCTCCACTGGAGCTTTCAAATACTTGCTTCATTTTAATGTCTATGGTTCCATAGCTCAGGACTGAAAGCACAGCTTGCAGAAACAGTACTCCCACTGCTAATGTTGCTGACCTCATCTACGATGGACAGGTCCAGAATCTTTATTTTAATCCTATTGACAGTGCCTCAGTGGGAGTAATTATAACAGTCGGCCACAAATCCAGACCTCCTGTCACTGATATATTAGGGTTTTTCACAACCAAAATGAGCAGCAGACAAGGAGGATGAAAACAACATGGGGTAGTGATTATAGCAAGATTTGTCAACCCCTTCTGTATTAAGCTCTACAAACATATGACAATTTGGCATGGGAGACACCAGAAAAACAAAATGTTTAATCTTCCACTGTATTAAAAACAAAATTTTGAAAATAATTTAGGGGGTGTTGTTCTTTTATGAGATACTTGGCTGATAGATCACAGCATCAGCCACAGACACTTTATAGCTGATGTATCTGAAAAATTTAGACAAACTGAAAGTGCACCATCATAAAATAATTCCCAAATGTGGATTTCAATGTGAAGCATTAGACATAAGAAATCAAGCAACAAAAGGAGACTTTCTAACCTCTGATCCCCTTTTCCAATAA